CGACGCCACCGCCTGGGCCCGCAGCCGCCGAGGGCCGTGGAGGGCACGGGGCGGGCGGAGTGGCCCGATGCAGAGCCGAGTAGCGGGCTTCAGGGAGAAAAGAGAGAGTATGGACGATGGCAAAGCCAGGGGCACAAGGTAGCGCAGCAGACCCACAGGACGGTGGCCGCCCCACGCCCATCGGTCCCCTCGGGGTGCCCTCTGAGCTGCCGGGAGGGAGCAAGGTGGCGGAGCGAAGCCCCTGGCGCTGTGCTCGCTGGGGGTGCCTGAAAAGGCTTGGGGAGGAGACGGGGGTCTGGGACCGCGGAAGCGAGCGCTCTCCCCGTGCGCGTGCGTCCCGACTCGTCGGGATTCCCCTGCCCTCGCCAGGGAGGCCCCTGGCACGAGGCGAGCCCCGACCCGGCTGGCCCGTCCGCCCTGGGGGGACAGAGCGCGGAGGGAGGGAGCAGTTGTCCACCCAAGCCCCATTCCAAGAAGGGAAACTGATTTGAAGACCGAAGTGGGGAAACCGGCGGCGAAGAGCCCGTATGGGGGGTGCCAGAGGCGGTTAGGGACGGAGAGTTCATTTCCTTAGGTGTGAGAGTGGAGTTGGAGAGAAGTGGGAGGATGTCCTTACACTTAGAAGATGCCCGCCGAAGTGCAGAGGTGAAACGTCATAATGTCTGCAATTTTCAAATGATGCAGCGAGCACACGCGCGCACACACAGAGGAAGCAAGTGTTGCAATGGGGTAACAGTTCTATCCAAGCTGGGGCGGGGGTGGGGTGGGGTGGGTAACCAGACGTTCGTCTTGTTCTTTCAACTTCCCTGCGTGTTTGCAAAACGTCATGATAACAATTTTGTGAGACACCCCTCATGAAGTAGCGCCTAAACGCTGTCTTAGAAAATGAGCCCGGCTGCTTTCTCTCTCCCCGTCCCGGGTGGGACAAACCGCCGGCAAGCAGGACTCGGAGCGAGCTGGGCCCAGGACGGGAAGGGCAGTGGGTAGCGCGGCCCGCGGCGGCCGCAGCCCCGGGCACCGCGCGCAGGCCGGGAGCGGCCC